AAAATGCAAATATTGAAAACATGGTATAGAGTAGGACAGAAACCTAAAACTCGTTTACGTTCTTTTTCCGCGGCCGATGATTCCACGAACTTCTGTTCATGGCTTCCCTCTCTTCGGCGACATCTGAATCTGTCGACAAACCTACCCCTTTTATCTCCGCGACGTCTTTCTTGGTTTCTCCCTTTCAGCAACTTTTGCTCTCGGCCTCTCCCTTTCCGACGAATGCTGGTTCTGTTCCAGTTAACTTGTCCCTTTCTTCTGTCATTCTGGCGATTTCTCCTCCGGTTTCTCTCTATGCATCGCGATTTTCGACGACGCATCCCTTTGCTTCCTTTGACGACGTGATCTTTGCTCTTTCCGGTGGCCAGCAATCTCTCTTCTCGTTCTCTCTTCTCTTGTTCCCATGACTCCTTTACAAGAAAGTGGGTTGGTTTCTTTGGTTGTTGAGATTGGGGTGCATTTGTGTTTGCTCGAGTTGTTTGGTGTTGAGGTTGTTGGAATCTGTGGAGTTGGGAGTTATTTGACCCTTCAATTGCTAGACAATATGGCAAGGACGTAAGAAGATGGTGATAAATTGTCACTTCACCAAAATCACTGATCGGAAGTTATTGGGAAAAGAATTATATTCAATTAGAAACAGATTATCCAACGATATGTGTCCAACATTGACATGGAGACCATTAATCGAGGATTCGCCTAAGGAAACCGAAAGTGATAGCAAAACTGAAAAAAATGGCTCATGAAGTGATAAGCTCTTCAATCAGATTCAGAATACTCTCGTTCGTCCGGGATGATGTGACTAGTCATTGTGATACGTCAAAGAGTTATGGGAGTATCTAGAGTTCTTGTATGTGGTAAACAAGACTTGTCTCATGCCCATGAATTGTATTGAAGATCTACGGGAATATGCAAGAGAAGATGTTGCTCGAATATTACAAAGATAAAAAACAAGCCTTTGAAGAAAAAAGGCTATGTTTCTTTCCCTACTGATGTGAAGATGATGCAAAGCACAAGAAGAACAAGTGTGTAGTGCAATGTTTTCTGGCTGGTTGAGACCAGAATACAAGATAGCTCTACACAGCTTCTTAACGGGAGACACTTCCCTCTCTTACGGATGTCTTTGCTCGACTTTCAAAGTTAATAAGGGGGAAGATCGAGGAGTTTCTAAGGACAAAAAATCCTTAAGGATCCTAATGTAGATATGCGGCCTAGCTAGCTGAAGCCTAGTAGTAGGCAAAGGCAACAAGGGGGAAGTTGTGATACTGGGAACAAAGTTGATAATAGCCTGTACTGCTATCATTGTGGTGCTGAGGGTCATGTAAAGAAGAATTGTTGGAGCTCCATGGGAAGCCCTGATATGCAAGGCACTCAGAAGTTTGCTTATGTTGCAACTCAAGATGGGTCTTTACCAACCCCATCACAAGTTATATTCTGCAGCTGAAATGCTTGCCTCACTCAGCATTCTAGCTCCCAGTCATCCATCCACGACCACCCTACATTAACCCAGTTAAGTAATCCTATGCCTGTTTGTTACTTCTAGTAGTAAATGGATCATTGATTCTGGTTACTCACCATATGACGGGGATACAGGTATTCTCTTCCATTTTCATTCATTCCTTTCTCTTTTTACCTTAGCTAACGTCTATGCACCTATTAGGATGTGGTACCGCCCATTCACAAATCTATGTCTCTCTCCTCTTTTTGTGCCTTCTCATTTTCCTTTAACTATTATCGTTAGTCAAATATAATGCATCAATTGTGTTTATTTTTTTCCTACTCATTGTATATTTCAGGATCTGGGACAAGGAGATTTGGTAGGGGTCGTGTATCAGGTGGCCTGTATATGCTCGATGATGTCTCCACTCCAGTCTCTCAACCTGTTGCTTGTAATGATTCATTCTATTCATATTACATGGTGCCTTGGTCATCTCCCTTCCCATTTTGAAAAAGTTGGTCCTAGAGTAAGGCAATCACACCTTGAGTGTGAGGCGTGTCAGTTTGGGAAACACCATGAGTGTTCTATAGCCTAGGATAAACAAAAGAGTCACACCCCTTTTGATGTTATACACTCTGATGTTTGGGGTCTTGCCTATGTTGTCTAAGTCTAGATATCGATACTTTTTACTTTGTGGATGATTTTTCGTGGGTGTTGACGTGACATAATTTTATTGTTGATTATATTGTAACATGATACACAAGTATTTTCCCAGGGTAAAAATGACTTTCAAGGGTGTTTATGTGATTTTACATATGTTGTGGACGTTAATGTAATTCATTAGTAATAAAGAGTAATATCATAAGCCTCTCTAATATTTGTTTCCATGTCATAGAAGGACAACATGCCTCCAAATTGATCCAAAGGCCACTGTTTGAACTTACGATTTGTAAATTAAACGGTTCTCAACCAACAAATTAATTCAATAACTTTAACAATTATTAAGAAAATAAAACTAATAAGTTTTCTAATTAAATTTATAATTTATTACAAAATAAAAAATAAAAAATTACTATCGTCAATCAATTGCAAGTTGTTAACATCAAAGTGCAATCAATGTTTGAATCTTTTTCATTGTTTGAACTCTTGCCATTATATAAATTATTGATGTAAATAAATACGTTATTTAAAATTTTGAACTATTGACTTAGGCAATTGGAATCATATATCATGTTGAGACACCATTTTATTACGCATTATTTTTAATTTCTAATGAATTTTTGAATTTATTGCATCTTTTTGTAGTGTAAAGTCAAACATGAGGGGCGTAATTGAAATTTCCTTAAATAATAGGCAAGAAAAAATGATGTAATACAATTAAGGGTGCAATTACCTTACTGATCAATAATTTTATTGAATCAGTGTGAACCGTTGGATTTTTCTACCAAAAAAATAACACCAAATCTATGTTTACACATTTTTATTAATATTTATTGCCTAATGATATCGTTAGATCTTCATTTCTTATAAATATATTATTTATTATATTGAGTTTGTAATATCATAACTCATAAGTGATTACTCCTTACCTAGTTAAATAATAATAATAATGATAATAATAGTAAATTACTCAAGTATTTTATTAATTTTTAACCCCAAACTAAATATTTTTAGCCCATTAATTTATTGGTTTTGCCCTAAACCCCTCAAAATTCTAAAGTCTTGCTTTGGCTCTAGTTAGTAGTTAGTAGGTATCAAACAACATAAACCTTTATAGTGATCACTAAAAATTAACATGTTGTTAGTAATCTAACCATTTATAATAACAACTACGATAATACAATCAAGAAAAGTATTAAACAATATGGTTTGTATGAGCAAACACAAGTTGCGTGTGATTGCTGGGTTAATCCTCCATGGTAGGTTATAGTCATTTATTGACCGGACAATTATGTTAGTGAGAAATTTGTCTAATGCATAAGTCGAATTTGATTGAATAAACAATTCGAAAATCGTTTAATTACTGATTATCGTCGTTGAATCTTTTTTAGTTTCACCCATATCTTCAATTTCTCTCAATCTAACTAGTGGATTCTTGCAAATATATACTCGAAACTAGTTTTTAGCTTGGATTGTGGTGAAGAGAAATTGATGATGATCATCATTGAATTGGGATTAAACGGGAGAAGGAATAGTGATGATAATGGGAAATGTGGGTCACGTGCAAAGCAAATGGGAAGAAGAAATATGAGATTGACAGAAAGTCCAAAAGGTGTGGTAATTAAGAAAGAGAAGTTGAAGTTGGAACAAGTCTTAACTCAAAGGCCGGCACGTGGAAAAGTGTAGTTCTGGTTCACGAGGCTCTAACATCTATGTGTTTCCATGTGCGTTTTGGGCCTTTTCCCATTCATTCCTTCCACGCTCCCACGTGACACCACATCCCACTACCACTCCAACCTAAGCCAATCCAATCCAATCCAATCCCTTCTCGTTTTTTTTTTCTATAAATTTCTGATATTATTTTTAAGAATATTTCTTAGAAAAAAAAAAAGTTAGTTAAGCATTGTGAATGCTCTGTTGATTTCATGAAATCTTAATTGATTATATCAAATAATTACTTGAATTTAAACATGTTAAGACCGTTTAAACATTAATTTTTTTTTTTTTTTTTTTTTAAGATAAAGTTGTCCGTATTGTTATCTATAAAATTACAAAAAACGTTTAAAACACTGGTTCCAGAAACCTAAGAATTTACAGTAACCAGTCCAAGAAACTTACAAAAAACGACTTCCTTAATTACAATATGTTTTTCAGTTTTAATCTAACTTGACTTAGTGACCAAGTGGTACTAACTAGGACAAATAAAAAACTATGTTACACTGTAGATTAGATTACGTAAGACTGACGTACGACACTGATCATAATAAATTATAGAGACCTCACACACAAACAATATTTTTTTAGATAAATCCGGTAATTGCCTCTCTTGCGAACACTGATCATAATAAATTATAGAGACCTCACACACAAGCATTATTTTTTTGGATAAGTCCGGTAATTGCCTCTCTTGCGATGTGAAAAGACTGACGTACGACAGTGATCATAATAAATTATAGAGACCTCACACACAAGCATTATTTTTTTGGATAAATCCGATAATTGCCTCTCTTGCGATGCGAAGAGAAGACCTCTTGAGTATAATTAACCTTATTGACCAAAAAACTTGCCATCCAGCCACAATAGAAAAGGCACATACAAGCAATATTATTAAAGATAAACACAATATTAGCTCTGACATCAATTGATGGATTCTATCAAATATTAGAGGTATCGTATCCAGTTTTTTTAGAGTAATGCATGAAGATAAATGATGAAATGTTATGTAAGGATTTGTAGATGTTAAACTTCGTAGAAGTCTCAATTCTTATGTAATTCTGACTTCTTTTTCAAAATTTCCAACTTTGCTCAAACAATTATAATGATCATCACAACTGAGACACAGAGACCATGTTGTTGATAAAGAGGGCACCATTTCTATAACTTTTTTTTATTTTTATTTTGATTCTTTTGAGCTTTGTTCATGCGGGTTCCTTCCTAGATATAACTAATTCTTTTCATGAATGGAATAGGAACCCTTACAATATTATATTAGAATAAAGTTAAGAGAATTTTGTATTAATTATTAAACTAATTGATAGATGAAAATAAAGCAACAAGAAAGCATGGTTATTGCAGCCAAAAGAGTCCAAAGAAGAGCCCTCTTTTCCAGCATGAGAAGGAATATGCAAGTGGAGGTGAGGTGTGTGTGGTGTTAAGAGAGTGGGTAGAGATTGACCAGCCGTGAGAAACGCTGCTTGCTAATTGCATTGATTCTTCCTGTCTAGACCTTGCTGGCAATGGTGGTGGACAGCTTGATAAAACATTAGCCCCCTTTTGATGAAGCTCCAAACACAAGCAAAGCTGCCCCAAGTCAATCCTCAAGGTCAACCAACACTTCCATCCTCAAGCTCAACGGTTTTCAGATATGAGCTCAGCCAAAGCGATAGAGTTCTGGAACAAACAAAGCTTGTTCGACTTGAGCTGCATTGACAAATGAGCTTAAGTTTAATATAAATGAAAAGCGTACAGACAATGAAAATTTACTCGAATAATACTACATATACAAATTCTCCATATGAAATGAAGTGAAATGTTATAATAGGAGAAATAAAAACAAATGTGATAATCATGTAATATTGTTGTTCATTTATGTAGTCTTATTCGTTCAAATCACTTAAGGTTGCCGAGTGGATATGCATTAATTAGAAGACAAAGAAGTAGAAGAGACTTTTTTGATGATGTTTTTATTACAAATATCTGAAAGTGACTGATGTTCTAAAAACAAGACTTGGCAGTGTATTATTCATATGCATGCAAACCTATTTTCTAACAAAAAAAAGACAGCAATATCAGTTCTAATTTTTTTAGTCTGAAAATTCCCTCTTTTTAACATATTTCAAGTTCGCAAGATTTGCATCCTCTTAAACACGTTTTTTTGGTTTATTTTTCTAAGTTGATGTATAAAATTACCGAAGTCTATGGTTCATAAAATATATTTTTTTGTTGGGTCCTATGAACTTTTAAAAAGATATATAAAGATCTCAAGAGAAAAAAGGTTTTAATGTGCTATTTCTGTAAAAAAATCATAAATATTATGATTATTTCCACTTGTGCTTGTGGCCCACTCAAAAGAATTGTTAGTGGCACTGGCACACATTCTATAATTCAGAACATCCACTACCAACTATCAACTACCAAGTAGAATAAATATCTATTATACTTTCCCCATTTATAAATGGAAGATTAACCTTCAATAATCAAGACTACGATAGATACGGAAGCACAAGGATTCTAGATGTATTAGCTGAAACTGATGCAGTTGTCAAACTGAAATAGAAAATAAAAAAAATCACGTGATGAGAAAAACTGAACCCAATGTGATGAGTGAATCCAAAACTTCTATTGACCATATTGATGTTGCGAAGTTAATATACTGACACAATATGTATAGAATTTTGAACAATGAATTATTTGGGTGAACAGTCTCTCCTAGGCATTTTTACCAAATAATAATTCTATGTCTACAACCTTTTCTCACAACCTCCAATGTGACAACTCGTCATTGATTAGCTAGCGAATGGGCAAGTGGGATCCATACAAACAGTGGGATCCATTTTGCTAGTTGACCCATGACGAACTGTCACGTCAAGAGTTGTAAGATTGGATTGTGGACCTAGCATTATTTTTTTTACCAACTCAGTTATCAATTACATTTTAGTCGATGCATGTTTAGCTCGACTTCTTTAGTTGGCATAGAAACAACACAGACTAAGAATAGTGCAATAGCTCATCTGTAACAATAATGCTAGATCTATAACCTTCTCTCACAACCCTCGACATGGCAGCTCATCATTGGTTAGCTCACAAATGGGTAGACGGGACCCATACAAGCAGGCAGGACCTATTTTGCGAGCTGACTAATGACGAGCTGCCACGTTAGGGGTTGCGAGAAAAAACTGTGAGATTGAGTTATGAACCTAGCATTACTTCATCTGTAATGATGAGTCTTCTCATCACTTTCTAGGTCAAAGCATATGTATATACAAGGCAATGCATATTACCACTCTGAAATCCTAAAAGCTAGCATCAGCTTGACTACACTCAAACTCAATAGACTACATGATCTTTCATTAGTTTTGGGCTTTGAAAGCACCTGTAAGAGTCAACTGTAGCTAGTAGGAATTGCCAATTGAAATCTGGTAGGCAAATACTGATTTTGTAATATTCTTTCTGAAAATCATCCAAGTATTGATTTTGAGGAAATTGAATCCGGCACTCTAAATCTACCCCCAAATTGTAAGTTATCTTCATTAGAATTAGGAGAAACAACTCTTAAAAATGCAACATAGAATAAGTTATATTATGAGAGTTAGGGGAAACTACTCTAAAAATCCAACACAAGTTATGCTTATGAGAATTAGGGGAAAAATGTGATAGATATTTAATTGTTCTCAATTTTCATGACGTTCGAGAAAGATCTAAAACAAATTTAATCAAGTACACTTTCTCTATTGAAGAAAGATTACTTATTGGATGGTTTATTACTACATTTTCAGTGATTCATAACGAGGGAGTCCTTACTTAGAAGGAGCAAGGTATTTCCTGAAAGATGGATGAACAATATTTTGGAACTACCTTATGGTTTAGGTGATATCTTCAAAAAAATGAATGCAACTATACTAACATTGGGCATGAATTTCTTATTCCTTGCATGTGAAAAACTGGAAAGAAACAATTTTATCTGAATAGATGACTCAACTTCTCTCTTCTTACCGCTAACTTCTAGATTTTCCTTCATCCTTTAGCACAGTCCATGCCTCTATACAGTCACTACAAAGCCATAGGCAGCTTAATCCACAAGCTTGTGATAATACTCAATATTCCTTATCTTTGTTTCTGCATGAAGATAAGCAACCCTATCATTTGTTAAGGAACTGAACACTCAAATGCATCAACTATCAAATTGATTCAATATTTCTTGCTATACAATGAACAAAGTCACTCGCCACTTACAGTTGAGCAATATAACTGAATGAAATATGGACTGGACAAGCCAAGAACTCTTAATACTGGTTCTTCCTACATTTCATAGGACCCACCAGTTGCAAGAATGTAGGTGAAGTCATGAAAGATGTCTATTCCTAAGTTACACGCATACTTTTTAAAGTTCATTTGCAATTGCACAATTATCCTGGAAGACAAATCTCAGGCATTAACATATCATCTTTTTTGCTATCTTCTTAGTGTAGAAGGTTTCAGAAGCCTTTGATCTATCAAACCACTAGCCCTGTTCAAGCAACCTGTAACGTGTGCCAGCAATGTGAGGATATGATTATGCAACCTACAATTAGTTTTCTTGGTTGAGTAAAGCTAGAAACATTAATAACTAAAGACTTTTTGATGTAATAAACGAGGTAACTATCAAGAGGGCAAGAAGCCTGACAAATTAAAAGATTAAATATTTAAGGGTTATTTCTTTTTTGTTTATAAGATAAAAAGAATAGTGGATTTAGTATTTGTAATATCATAATGGAAGGGGAAAGAGTTAGTGGTGAGCTAATGAAGAAAAACCACTGTTGAGGACTGTGAATCCTGAGAGTAATAACTTCAATTTTCTATTAATGCCGAGGGCAATAACTTCAGACTCCTGCGGAGAATTTGGAATAAGATTTGAGGGAATTCATAGATATTAAGTCCACTTCCAGTAATTGAACCAAATACTCACCCTTGTGGCTTTTAGGAGCTATTCTAAGGATATCATTAAAGATGAAGTAGGGTCACTGAATTGCTGTATTGAGATGATTAAAGAAATTGACTAACTAACAGGAGAATACATTTTAAACATCACATACAAAAATTCCTTTGATATCACGCCAAAGGTTTCCAAAGCATTGCTCAAAGTTACAGAAAATCTAAACTTCATCTTCATTCATACTCTATTTCTCACAATTTCGTCATTGGATCACAAGAAGTATTCCTCATTCCTCATTCATCATACTTTTCTTTTTTCTTGCTAACTCACAGTCCTTACCACCTCTGTCTCAGCTCTTGCATATCCCCCTTCTGCTTTTGACCTCTTATGGATGATCTATACAATGGCAGCTCAGTTGAACATTTAGCAAACCTAGCAATATGTTATTTACCAGATTCTTGAACACACAACTACTGTAAAGTAGTAATAACAATTATGACGGCAAGGTTCAAGGATGTTTGCTAAAACCTGTTGCTTTAACCCAGAAGGTTAGGTATTAATAATTGGATGCTAAAAGTTCACTATATTCCATAATGCCTTGGTATTTAAGCTTCTTGTTTCATGAAACTCTTATAATCTGAATCTTACCAATGTCCAACAAAAAATTACATAACCGTTTCTTTTCAGAAGTCAACAATTAAAAATTTGCAATGTGTACTCCTTAAAATCTATTAAAACTACTGGCTTTAAGCATATCATGGTTTACATCTAACATGTGGTATAACACACTCACCAGACTCAGGTTAAACTAACTCATCACCCTGCCAGAAGTTTATTCTTTGGTGCTTAAATCAACCTAGAGGAACAACAGGTCCCAAATTTTATGCTGTCTGTTTCCTTTCAAAAATTTGAATATAATGTCTTCCACAAAGCAATATAGTCTCAATAAAGTACAAATTAACTTCAACCTGTGTAGGTACACCGACGTTTGCATTTGATCAAGTCATTTCATCGTAAAGGTGATCTAGAATCTACTTGGATAGAAAAGGTGTCTTGCCTGAAAGCAACAAATTAATCTTTCCAATGGCAAAGTTGCATGCACAAGATTTTGGTCATCGAAGCTTCATTTAATTTAAATGGAATAATAGGATCTAGCAATGAAACACTATAACTAAACAAGTCTTTGATCAAGGTTAAGCAAGGAGTATGTCGTGTTGGAAACTATTTATATATGTAGTCAAGGGTATATATGTAATTGTAGTATGTGTATATATTTGTTAGACTGTACTGTTGAGAAAAATAGAAAATTGAAATTGAAAAATGCAAATATTGAAAACATGGTATCAGAGTAGGACAGAACCCTAAAACTCGTTTCTACGTTTCTGTTTTCCCGCGGCCGATGATTCCGACGAACCTTCTGTTCACGGTTTCCCTCTCTTCGGCGACATCTGAATCTGTCCGACAAACCCTCAACCTCCTTTGTTATCTCCGGCGACGTCTGTTCTTGGTTTCTCCCTTTCCAGCAACTTTTGCTCTCGGCCTCTCCCTTTCCGACGAATGCTGGTTCTGTTCCAGTTAACTTGTCCCTTTCTTCTGCTCATTCTGGCGATTTCTCCTCCGGTTTCTCTCTATGCATCGCGACTTTTCGACGACGCAATCCCTTTGCTTCCTTTGACGACGTGATCTCTTTGCTCTTTCCGGTGGCCAGCAATCTCTCCTCTCGTTTCTCTCTTCTCTCTTGTTCCCAGTGACTCCTTTTACAAGAAAGTGGTTGGTTTCTTTCTGGTTG